TTCTTCTTCAGAGAAGTTTCTCTTTAAGTCTTTAGCCCACTTATTTATTGGGCAGTTGTTTCTTTGAAGATTTGTTGTTGGGGGATTTAATTTTTTGAGTTCCAAGTATATTTTAGATATGAGACCCTTGTCCGTTGTATGGTTAGTGAAGATCTTCTCCCAATCCGTGGGCTTTCTATTGATCTTGCTAGCTATGTCCTTTGCCATGCAGAAGCTCTGCAACTTCATGCAGTCCCATTTGTCCAACCTTTCTTTGATTTGTTGTGTTTCTGGGTCTCTATTAAGAGGAGACCTAAGATTTCTCCTATTCCATCCTGTAATGTTTTCAGAGTGTCTGGTTTGACTCCAAGGTCTTTGATCCATTTGGAGTTGATTCTGGTGCAGTGTGATATATAAGGATCTAGTTTTCGTTTTCTACAAGTAGTTAACCAATTTTGCCAGCACCATTTACTGAAGAGGCTGTCTTTCTTCCATTCTATTTTTTTAGCTCCCTTATCTAAGATTAGATGGCTATAGGTCTGTAGGTTCATTTCTGGGTTTTCAATTCTATTCCATTGGTCCTGAGGTCTGTTCTTATGCCAGTACCAAGCTGTTCTGATTTCTAAGGCTTTATAGTAGAATTTGAAATTTGGTATTGCTATTCCTTCAGCACTGCTCTTTCCGTTGAGGAGCATTTTGCTATTCGGGGTCTTTTATTGTTCCATATGAATTTTTGGATTGCCTCTTCTATTTCCTTGATGAATGAGGTTAGAATTTTGATAGGTATCGCATTGAATTTGTAGATAGCCTTGGGACGTATTGCCATTTTCATGATGTTAATCTTTTTTTTTTAATTTAATTTTATTATATTTGTGAACATACTGTACAGAGGGGTTACAATTACATGGGCAGGATAATGCGTACATTTCTTACCAAGCATTGCAGCCTCCTCCTTTGGTTTACCCTTCACATCCCTTCCCAGCCTCCCTTCTCCCCCCCAATCCCAATCTTTCTCCTTCTCCCCTCTTCCTCCCCCCGCCCCCCGCACCGAAGTTGTAAAGCTCTTTTTGGACATGACAACTTGTACTTCTCATTGTTGCAACAGGTCCACCTGTATCCTTAAGCAACTGGTTTTTCCCCATCTCCTCCACATGTTATACTGACATCAAATATAGTGAAAGCGGGGGTTACACTGTGGGGGAGGGACATACAAAGCAATAAAGAAATAATCTTATAAATGCGTTAGAAACACATGCATGAAAGAAACAAAAACTTTAAAATACATATTTAAGGGTTCGTTTTCCTAACATCACATTATCTGACCTTTTCCGCTTGACTCAGACATATACTAGATATTGCAAATAAGGGAAACCATGGGACCTATGTTTCTTTGGGCCTGGCTTACTTCACTTAATGTAATTTTTTCCAAGCCTTTCCATTTCCTAACAAATGGGGAAATGTCATTCTTTCTGATGGAGGCATAGAATTCCATTGTGTATATATACCACATTTTCTTGATCCATTCATCTACTGAGGGGCATCTGGGTTGCTTCCATATCTTAGCTATGGTAAATAATGCTGCAATAAACATAGTTGTGCTGGTAGCTTTAGTGTGGTCTTTTTTGTAAACATTAGGGTAAATGCCCAAAAGTGGGATTGCTGGGTCATAGGGGAGTTCTATGTGAAGTCTTTTGAGGAACCTCCATACTGCTTTCCAAAGTGGTTGAACAAGTTTACATTCCCACCAACAATGAAGTAAGGTTCCTTTCTGTCCACTTCCCCTCCAGCACATGATGTTAATCTTTCCAATCCAGGAGCATGGGAGGTTTTGCCACTTTCTAAGTTCTGTTTTGATTTCCTTTTTCAAGTTTTTAAAGTTTTCATCATAGAGGTCCTTCACTTCTTTGGTTAAGTTAATTCCTAGGTATTTTATTTTTTGTGGGGCTATTACGAATGGAGTTGCTTTCCTAATTTCAGCCACACTTTTCTCATTGTTGGCATACAGAAAAGCCATTGATTTTGGGGGGTTGATGTTATACCCTGCTACTTTGCCAAAGTTTTGAATCAGCTTGAGTAATTTGGGAGTGGAGTCTATGGGATTATTTAAATACAAGATCATGTCATCTGCAAAGTGGGAGAGTTTTATTTCTTCTTTCCCTATTTGGATCTCCTTTATGTTTGCATCTTGTCTTATTGCTGTAGCTAGGCATTCTAATACTAGATTGAAGAGAAGTGGAGAGAGTGGACATCCTTGTCTTGTTCCTGAGTTTAGAGGAAATGGCTTTAGTTTTTCACCATTAAGTATAATGCTGGCTGTAGGTTTGTCATATACAGCCTTTATTGTATTGAGGAATGTTCCATGGATTCCTAATTTTTCCAAGACCACCATCATAAAGGGGTGTTGGATCGTGTCAAATGCTTTTTCTGCACCTATTGAGATAACCATGTGTTTCTTATCCTTGCTCCTGTTGATGTGATGAATAATATTAATTGATTTGTGTATATTGAACCAGCTTTGCATCCCTGAAATGAATCCTGTTTGATCGTGGTGTAGGATTTTTTGAATGAATTATTGAAGTCAATTGGCCAAAATTTTGTTGAGAAGTTTTGCATCAATGTTCATCAAAGAAATGGGTCTATAATTCTCTTTCTTTGTTGAGTCCCTGCCTGGTTTTGGGATGAAGGTCATGATGGCTTCATAGAATGTGTTCGGTAGTGAACTTTCTCTTTCAATTTCATTGAAAAGTTGGAGGAGTATTGGTGTGAGGTCTACTTTGAAGGCCTTGTAGAATTCTGCTGTAAAACCATCTGGTCCTGGACTTTTCTTAGATGGGAGGTCTCTTATTGCTGTTTCTATTTCAATGCTTGATATGGGCCTGTTAAGATGTCAACCAGGTTTATTTTTTTCCAAAAATCATCTCTGTGTTTCACTGATTCCTTGTATCAATATTTTAGACCTTATTTCATTGACTTTCTCCATGAAGTTATTTCTTTCTATCTACCATTGTGGGGTTTGGCTTGCTATTATTTTCCTAAGAGCTTGATGTACAGTTAGGTTATTAATTTGAGATCTCTGATTTTATTTAGGGTAGGCACTCAGAACTATAAATTTTCCTCCTATGGTATTTCTTGCCACTGTCCTATATTCTCTGTGTTTTCCTAATCTTTCTTGCCCTTTCTCCTTTCTTTCCTCCCTTTCATCCTTTCTCTTTCCTTCTTCCCCTTCCTGGCAATCATTGATATTTTTGTCCAAATGTCTTATGCTTTGAAACTGTAGTACATGAGCATTTTGATTCCACTTCATTTAGTGTTATGTCTTTAAGATTTTATCATATCTTTTCATGGCTTGAAATAGATCTTCTGTCTATTTTTATTGTTTTTTCCTCTCTCCTTTTTTTGTTTTTTCTTTCTTGTTTTGCTTTTCTAGGCCTATGTTTAAATTCATGCACTCTTCAGGGATTTGGGGGTATTCTATATGGCTGTTTTCTACATAGACTCCAGAATAATGCTTTGTAGAAACTCAAGTACATGCTTGCTAGCTGAATGACAAACTGAATACAGATCTGTACTCATGGTCATTGGGTCTAAACACTGGTCTAAACACAGTATGAGAGACTACCCAGGATAAAGATATTGAAGCTTTCCTTCATTTCATTTGGATGGAAGGCACAATCCAAACATAAGGGTGGTGCCATCCAACATAAGGAATGGGCTGTCTCATCAGCAGAATCCAGGTGAAAGAAGTACAACACAAATTCCCAGTGGCTAAATTCTTGTCTTTTGCTGCTTTTGTGGCTTGAACTCAGGAACTGGGCATTGTCTCTTACCTTTATTTTCTCAAGGCTAGTATGATGCCATATGAGCCATACTTCTCCTGTGGTTCTTTGGTGGTTTCCTGCAGATGAGACTCTCACAGACTTTTTCTCCTCATGCTGCGTTTTAACCTGAATTTTCAGATTTCAGCCTCCAGTGTGAGCTACTGTTGCAAGACTTTTTCCTATCATCCTGGTAGAAGACTGAGTAAAGGCATGTTACTACCTTTTTTTCAGTTCCAGGGATTGAACTCAAGGCCTTATTACATATGTTAGACAAGCTCTTTGCCCTGTAACCCATATTCTCAATTATTTTTTCATAAGCTGACTTTTGTACATTTGAGTTGTTAAGTACATTATATATTGGATGATATCAGGGTAACTTGATCCAAGTCCTGCTTCCATTAATTATGGTCATGTATGGGTTGGTTCCATTATTCCTGTAGACATCCCAGTCTATAGGTCCAAGAGTTCCTAGTAGAAAATGCCTCAGTAAATACAGATATCATACATATACCCTCTCATATTTTAAATCATATTTTATCACATATAATAGCTACGATAATGTAAATTCTACGTGCATAGTGATTATACTATATTGATTTGAGAACATTAGCAAGGAAAAAAGACTGTACATGTTCAGAACAAGTGCAATATTTTCTAATATTTACTACTTGCAGTTGAGTGAGTTAATAAATAAATTTTTACATGGCTATCAAGAGCAGAGTATATTTGTCTTTAAATAAATGAGGTTGCGGTATGTGGAATAAAGTTTCCTGGTCTCTAAAAGCAATGGGAGCCCAGGAGCTTGTTGTGAGGGCTAGATGTAATGTTTCTATTAGTTGAAGGGTTTTTGAAAATAAAAGCTCCATCATCAACTAACTTGAGCTGCTGAAGGAATTTATTGGCTTGTTCTACCAAGCTTAGCAAAAATATGACCAAGTTGATCAGGCCCAAGGTACCTGCAACCAGGGGTAAATCTCTTAGATTTATAGCCAAGATCTCTTCCTTACAGATTGGAAGTAAATCTCTTCTGTACGTGTCACAGCCACCCAATTGCTCTGAATGTAGCATTGTACCTCTTCCCTGTACTGGAATATGATGGATAGCTGTTTTGATAAGTGCAGTGAAAATTTTGCAACATTTTACAACTCTTTTGACTTCTCTGTTATTACAGTATATTATGGTCTTCTAAAGATTGGACTTGAAGTGCTTGCTTTGGCAGCACATAAACTGAAATTAGAATGACACAAAGAAATTTACCATGACCCCTGCACAAGATGATATGCAAGTTCACAAATCATTTCATATTTTTACATTATCAAGCATTGTGTGCACATAGCCCCCAAAGCCACCAGAATCCCTATGTGGAATACCCCACCTATAGCACCCAGTGTCTTCTCCTAGCCAGCCCCCTAAAGCTCATCTGTGCTGTACCACATGGGACGCCATCACCCACAGAACTGGGGACCGATGCCCAATAGACCCCAGGATCCCACATGAACATTCTTGCATGGAACAACACTGATAGTCCGCAGGGTCCTGGTCCATGCCTATCTGGAACAGAAAGGCCTACTATCCAAAATATACACATAACCCCTCCCAAAGCTAATGATTCAATCACTAAATGAGAAAAGGAGCTAGGGAGAAACTTCTCAGAAGAGCAAGAATGGCAAATAAACATGAGGAAATACTTCACATCTCTAACCATAAAGGAAATGCAAATCAAGGCAACTCTAAGATTTCATCTCACTCCAATCTATTGGCCAACATTGTGAATTCAAACAACAACATATATTGGTGGAGATATGAGGGGAAAAAGGAATTCTATTGCACTATTGGTGGGAATATAAACTAGTGCAACTACTCTGCACATCAGTCCGAAGGTTCCTCAAAATCTAAACATAAATCTTCCCTACCACCCAGCTGCATCACTCCAGGGCATCTAGCCAGAGCATCACAAGCCAGGATATCATAAAGACACTTGTACATCCATACTCATCACTGCCCTATTCACAATAGCCAAATTGTAGAAACAGCCCAGATGCCTTATAATAGATAAGTGGATCAAAAAATATGGTACCTATGCACAATTACTCGCCATTAGACTTAATAGTATTATGTTATTTGCAGGGAAATGGATAGACCTAGAATATAACATGTGAAGTAAAGTACATCAAGTTCAAAGAGAGAAAGGGTGTAAGTTTTCTTGCATATGCAGAAGCTAGATCTAAATACACGATAAATTAAACAGGACTCTAGGCATTCACACACAGAACAAAGGATGATAGATACTCTTAGGGGAGGAACACAGTCACAATGCCTGTGCTTATCATCATATGAAATAATATTTATCAAAATGAACTTCAGAAAATGGCAGAGGGGTTTTGTTTTGATTTGTTCTAATTTTTGTCTTGTTTGTTCATTTATCTAGCTTTCAGAGGGTAAAGGGGGGACTAGGTAAATGAAGGGACAAAGAGTGAACAGAAATGCAGGGACAAAGGCTGAAGAAATGCAGCAGTACTACTCACTAAACAATATGTTGAAAATGAACTATACAACTTGTAAGTGGGGACAGGAAGGAAAACCTAAGAGAGAAAGGTAAGGGTTTACATTGTCCAAAAAAGAAATATTCTGGGTTGGGAAGGTGGCTCAGTGGTAGAGCGCTTGCCTTGCATGCATGAGGCCCTGGGTTCAATTCCTCAGCACCACATAAGCAGAAAAAAAGCCGGAAGTGGCGCTGTGACTCAAGTGGTAGAGTGCTAGCCTTGAAGTGAAGAGCTGAGGGACAGCGCCCAGGCCCAGAGTTCAGGCCCACGACAGGACCCCCTCCCCAAAAAAAAGAAAGAAAAGAAAGAAATATACTCTTTCATGTAATTGTAACCCCTCTGTACATCACCTTTATAACAACAATAAAAATATTACAGAAAACATTTAATTTTAAGATGTGGATATGGTACTCATTTCTGTGTGCCAATTTATTACTGAGGAGAGTTTCCTTTTAATTCTACCTGTTTTGAAAAGGCAGCAGGATACATGGGAAAGCCTGGCTGTGACATGACCAGTTTTGGGTGACCAGAACTAGAGTTCTTCTTGGGTTGGGTGGCTAAGTTACTGCTTGTTGTTGTGAGGTGGTGGTGGTGTGGTTATGGTGGTAGTTATTGGTCATGGGGCTTAAACTCAGGGCCTGGGCACTGACCCTGAGCTCCTTCACTTAAGGCTAATGTTCTACCACTTTGAGCCACAGCACTACTTCCAATTTTCTGGTGATTAATTAGAGATAAAACTTTCTTGTCCAGGCTGGCTTTGAATCATGATCCTCAGATCTCAGCCTCCTGAGTAGCTAGGATTACAGGCATGTGCCCCTGGTGCCTGGTGTTGGGCTACTTCTTGCTTGGTGCTTCCATGCTTCCAAAGTAAATAGATTTGTATACCATCTAAAAATCCCTGAGTGATAAATAAGTGAAACATACCTCTCTGTAGTTTTTCCATTTGCTGAATGACTTTCACTGATTTCAAACTGTGCAGTTTTCTGTGGTGGAGGCCTTGAGGTTGACCTCAACAGACAAAGCAATGGATGTAAGTGACATTGACTTCTGCAATCCCTCAGCATGTCTTAGTGACCTCAAGTTCATGTCCTGTCGGGTGTCTTGGTGACCTTTTTCTTTAGAGCCATCTATGTATATAACACTGACTTTTTCTTCATAGCTCCTTCAAATTACTCCAAGCTTTCTTTAGGGCCACACAGAGTCAAGAGTTTCCAGGATATTTCACAGTTAGCAGAATTCCTAGGTTATGTGAAAACAAAGGTTAGTTGTTCTACACTTAGGATCTTTCTGGTTGACCCATCTGTGTAAATTTTTTAAAACACTTTTTATATAGTCACATAAAATGCATATATAGATAAAACATTACTAAATATATTCATCTTCAATTTATAGTGCAGTGAACATTTACATATGTGTGTACATAGCTGGATAACAGATAAAAGAGAGAAAGATTGATGACAGAGAGAGAGAGAGAGTTAGATCCAAATCATGATTTAGAATACTCATTTCAAAATATGAGCCCCAAAATTTTCCTGAGGCCCTTCCTAGGTTATGTTCAGTAGACACCCAGAATTAACCATTGCTCTTATTTATATAACCACAAAGTAGTGTTTCCTCTTGAGTTTCAAAAAAGTGCACTTTTTCTCTATTACATGTCTGGTGTAACACCTGTGCAACACCAGCTAATGTAACCCCTTAAGATCAGGCTATGGGATCCACAGCAAACATCCATCTATAGATAGAAAACCCCTGGTCCAAGAGGATTAACTGTATAAATGGGCTTTTACTTATTCAGTTAGCAAATACTTTTAAATAATCGCTGGTCATGGAGAGACTATAATAGACAAAAAGATAAAGTCATGCCTCCTGAGACTTGTGCAAGTAAGCAAGGGCAAAGATAGCAATTACAACTAGATACATACTACACGGTTGGAGAGAGACAGGAGCTGCCCACCAAAACAGACCATGATGGAGAACAAGTTCTAGTGTATGACCAATTCCAAAATGAGCCAGAAGCTCTACCTACCCTGTGCTATGATGGCTTCTGAACAGAAACTCTACTGTTGACAATAGTGACCATCACAAAGGAAGGAGAGGTCAGGTGAGGCCAGGTAAGTTCTATCATCAGCAAGGTGTAGATTAGCTGGAGTGAAGGGAAGGGAAAGAATGAGAGAAGGTTGAGATCCAGTTGGTTTCAGGGAGCCTGTCAGGCCATCACTTTCAGTAGATGCAGGTAATTAGCACAGAAGTGACACACTGACTTGATCAGGTGGCAGTGAGGCAAAAGGATAGTATCAGGTCCTGGGAGGCAGCTCTGCAGATGTCCTGGAGAAAAAGAAGACGGCTAAGGTATGAACAATTTTTCTGCGTATTTTGAAGCTAGAGAAAATCCATTCTGCATTTTTTTTTGTTGGTCATGGTGCTTGAATTCTGGGCCTGGGCTCTGTCTTGAGCTCTTCAGCTCAAGACTAGCACTCTACCACTTGAGCCACAGCGCTACTTCCAGCCTTTTCTGCTTACGTGGTGCTGGGGAATCAAACCCAGAGCCTCATGCATGCAAGGCAAGCACTCTAACACTGAGCCACCTTCCCAGCCCCATTCTGCATATTTTGAAGCTAGGGAAAACAGTATCTATCTATTGCCTGATAGACAGGTATGCCATCTGAAAGGGAGATTCCAATGAGAGGCCACACTGAGAGGTGTGGTTCTCAGTAGGAGCCAGGGAGCCAGGCATTTGAGGAGCTACTGGATCCTTCATCTGATTGTCAGGCCCTTGCCAGGTACTAGGAGTCTGTATCAATATCCTGTATGATCATATTATCTAGGTGAAATACAAGTAAAACCAATGGCCTATAGAATGCCTTGGAGAAATCCCTTCACAGAAAGGAGAAATCCCTTCACACAACTGTTGACCATGATTTCCATTGGTGAAGAAGGCGCTAACCATCCATTCAGCATCTGAGTCAAAATCTGAATGGCTACAAAGAGCTACTTTCCTGTTCTCATTGCAAGAGATATTGAAAAGCTGACACAACTAATCACTAACAAGACACTCCTATGTCTTGTGTCCCCACTTAATCTCCTGCAAAATAAAAACAAGAGCATTCTAGAAAGAACATGTGTGTTACAATAACTACATGCTATCATTTAAATATCTCAGCAGAAAGTGTACAAAACTTTAATCATCCTTAATGTTCAAGCAACCTTTTCCCTGTTGTTTAAGTCCTATATAAAATTTTCCATCTTTATGGTGTCATTTGGCACTGCCTCTTGTCCAATTCATCTCAACTTAAAATACCAACTGGGTGGTCTCTAAGGTGAAGATCCCAAATCCTTGGTATCCCCAGCAAAGAATTAAATGGACACAGAGAGAGGAGGAGGTAAAGCAAGACTTTTGAAGGAAAAGTGCACTGATCAGGGGGAAAGGTAGATGTGAGCTAGGTGACTCGAGCAAAACTTTAGTTAAAATTTTCACTTTTCTAGGGCTCAGGGAATGTGGGAGGAGTTCATGGTAATAATGGTTGATCATAGGGAAATAAGGCATTGTGATTAGGCATATTTTTTGGAAGGAATCTACACCCCTTGTAAAAGCTTACCATCCCATAGCATTAAGTGTAAGTATGAGATGCAATGATATGTATGAAGGCCTAACAAGGAGTTTGCTCTGCAAGGTGCCTTGGTTTTACTAGAATTGGCCCAGAGTTTCTGTGCCCCTAAGGAGAAGTCCTAACCACAAACTGACCATTGATTACCCCCAAAGAAGAGC